ATGATAATCAATGTGTCACATATATTAGAATACTCAAAATGTAAAAAGGGGCAACTATATACAGGATATCAAGGGATTGGCGAACATTCCGCCTTCGATGTAGCACAAATACGCAAATTCTGATTCTATATGATAAAAACCAAATTCTATTCTTTGTGGCATTGTAAAAATCAATTCCTATTGCATTAGGACAATACAAAGTCACAACATTACAAATCTGCGCCTTGAATTTGGACAAATGAATGGTCCACAACCTTCAAATAAGAATTCTCCTGTATTTTATCCCCAAAACTCCCCCTTGCCCTGATACCACTTGTTATTCGGAAGCTCCAAAGTGGGATTTTAAGCAAAGCATATAAAAGAGAACAGACATGAGTAATTTGCGTGATTTGGCAATTGGCCTACATCCACAAGGAGAGGCGAGAACAATTTCACTAAATAAAAGGGAAAAATATGAAAGAGTAGCATATATTTAGTTCCAAAAGAGTACAAACAACTAAACCGAAAAACCCACATAGACCTAAAAAAAAATCCGCAACGTAAGCATACCAAATCAGCTATAAATGATCCCCAAATCTCACTCTACAGATAGTCCATGACCATCTGAGAAATTGGAATTCTCCAAGTTACAAAAGGGCATCTATACAAACTAGAGAACAAAAGGATTAGCTAACTGTCCCTCTTTCACTACAGGATAGTGATTGTAAACAAACAATTTCATCTTCAATCGGGAAAACGGCAAAGTCAAAGCTCAGAAGCATAATAAAGAATCAGAATTTCTCCTTTAGCTCTAAGCAAGAAAGTGGAAAAAGTATCTCCTATTGGAGAGAAGGAAATAAACAACAGGATAAACAACTTTGCAGCATTTGGAAATATTGGAAGCATACATCAAAGAATTCTAAAAAAGCTGCTGCTAGCAGGCAGTATCCACATAAACCCGAAGGAGTAGAGACATATAAAGATGCAAGAGGAGAAAATGATGTCGATGCTAATGACAAGGGTGACGAAAGTACTTTGGACTCATCCAAAGAAATGTACAATCATGTTGACACCAATCATGATCAACACGTAAAACAAATACAATAAGATGAACCACGAAGCATGTACAGTAGCTGCACGACATTCAGAAGCTATGAATCTAGGCTCGGCATTTACAATGGTGAGTCCTGGATTGGGAAATGCCATCAATGTCAACCTGCACATGGCAGGAGGTCTGTGTCGCTCAATTCCAAACTGTTGGTAAAGGGCATGCTCGCAGCAGTATCGGCATCAGAGCACAACTTTTGTGCTTGCAACTGGCTTTAGTGGTTTTAAAATAATGGTAGCGGTATCGCAAGTCAGTGACTGTGTTGTTTGAGAGGTCGATTTTGTCACTGCCAGACAACAAATTAACAGGATATAATTTCTTTTTGGCATGAGAATGGAATGAGTATTGTTAAATGATCAATAGACATGAATAGTTACCCACAAACAGTAAATTTTCATGAAAAGAACGCAAGTTGTGGCTTCTGACTAGGATTTGCTCAGAGGAATGATCTGATACTAATTGATGCAGAGCTGGCAGACCGGAGAAAAAAAATGACAAGGGAGAAAGAGTTTAGGAAAAAGACAGAGAAGAATTTGGAAGAGAGATTTAATAGCAATAATCAATCAATTCAATAATCTATCTAAACTGAGCCCTAGTTTACCTTTTGATAGTGTAAAGAACTAATGTATGGGAACTTCTAATATGTCACAAATTATCTAATAACAAAATTTCAGTTAATCATACCTAGTCTAATCAAACTCTATTTTAGTCCCATTTGTAATAGAATCCTCATCAACATCCCAACTTTAGATATTTTCAGCTTAAAGACGAAAAATTTGCAGACAAGGGTACAAGTCTGCATAACAGGCAGGAGACCCTCTACCAAGAGCAAAAAAAGGCTCCACTGAATTAGGCCCACAACTTTAATAGTTGTGGAGAATCCATGGTTACAGAAAAGAAAAGAAACCAGCAGAGAAGGATAAAATAAATGCTGCTCCACTGATCATTTAGGTTATCATAAATCCAAAATTGTATTCACAACATTATGGAATTCATTCCTAACTTAATCAAGCATATACATTGCCACCAAACATGTGGAACCCCCAGCAGTAACCTCATACAAGAAAAGAAGCATTAAAACTTTCAAAACAATAATAAAAATAAAAAGCCTTGAAGCAGCCAAATATTGTGATACTGATATTATTCTCATCAACTGGGTGGCACAATTGATTGCTTTGAACTACAGAAGAGATTATGGACATATTATTGAAAATAACGAATTATTCATGCAAAAAATAAAAAAATAAAAAATGAAACTGTCAAAATAAACATTATACTCAGCAAACCAGAAATATCTGCTTAATCTTAACACAAGTAGAAATGTGATTGAACTTAAGATTAAATGTGCAAAGTAAATATGTAGAACTGTCAAGACAAACATTATCTTCAAAGCACCAGATATCTCTATTTTAAACTTCAACAGCTAACTGAACAAGAAACCTTCATACCAGATCTAATACTTGTGTGTGCATGTTCGCTTGGCATTAAGAACTTGGAAATTTATAACCATAAATTATCCAGAAAACTAACTTAGAAACAAACACACAATAAAAGATACCCAGACTACGGAGTTACACCATCTGAAATAAAAGGTTAGACTGCTAGAATTGGCCTCTACTCCAGTCCTCGGAAAAATCAATAATGATAATTGGTCGAATTACGCCTATCATCATAGCGTCCTGGTCTAGCGTGACTAATACTATCCGACGCTGCCCCAAACAACCTTCGTCTGTAATCATTATCGGTGCTGTCATAGTGTGATCTATATCCATTAGGTTGGTGTACAGATACACCAGATCGAACTGGCACTGAATATAAAAGAAAATTGTCAAAAAGATAAGAATGGATTCACAAGAAAAGTTGAAATAACAAAGGTAATCCAAATAAGAGTTGCATATAGAGAAGAAAGAAAATGGCTCCACAAAAAAAGCATTCATCACCTTGTACATAATTTATTTGGTGCTCTGAAGACCGGCACAATGTTGATAACCTTGCAGATTGTGGAGAAAATTCCACATTGTTATACGTTTCAGGGTAAGGCCTCGGTTTAGGAGAAGTATAAACCGCAGGTGGGGTTGCGATAGACAAATTTGCTGAGGGCTTGTCTTGCCCGGAAATCTGTTTTCCAAAATTCATTTTGTCACTATTTACTAAAAAAATGAACAAACCTCCTATATAGTTTTCACTCCTCAACAAGAGATCAAGCTGCCAGCCCACAACCAACAGCAGATGAACCCCAAAAAAATACCTGCTGTCACTTACAAGCAAAAGCCAATGGTTATTCATGAGTCCTGTTCCATAGGATCCCTGATGGAAACTGGATAGGGGCTGACTTAACTGATAACCCATTGAGGAGTAAAAATTTAAGCTAGAATAAAGCAGCATTTAAAATTAACTAGCAGCATACATCAATTTGTACCAAGACAGAAGAGTAAAGTCAAATTCAATTAGAACAAATAACTAGCCAATATTTTATGCATCCAACGGAAAAAGGTGAATCAACGCCATCAATAAATTGAGCTATTATAGGATTTTCACTTACCGCAAATTTCAATGTCCGATTGTACAGTGTAACAAGTCCGGTGAAAAGCTTGACAGCATACTCAGCTATCTCCTCTGATTCATATTGTGCAAAAGCGTAACCTTTTGGCTTATCAGTTTCCTTATCACGAGGAATATACAAGTCCACAACACGCCCAGCTTGAATCAGAATATCATACAATACCCTCTCGCTCACTCTCTCATCCAAATTGCCTGTATAAAAAGCATATCAAACCAAAGTCGAGGACACAGTCCTCTCAATGAATTTATTACTGGAAGAGTAACAAGCAACATTCTGATAATTTCACCACTGCAAGAAAACAGCGAAGGGTCTGAAGGTGCAAAGATAATTTCCCCTCGTGCTTCCAAATCGAGATGTGCAGTAATATTACAATGAAACTCGGAAAGATTTACGCTTAAAAGGGTATACAGATTGTACAACTCCCCAATCATTACATAAAAACCCCAAAGTGCTTCGTGTCTCATTAGATTAAAATAGAGGAGAATATGAACGACAATTCGAAATCAATACGCTAAAATGAGAATTGACTAATATAATGAGAAAATATTGAAATCCAAATGACCGAAGCCAAATATAATGCTCAAATCAAACTAAAGAGATGGATTAAACAAAAAATTGAGATAAACTTACCGACGTAAACAGAGGACTTGGGATTTTCAGCCATTATTGGGAAAAAAAATATTTCTGGTTCTGGAGGCTTCGATTTGATGATTTGCAGGTGCTCTATATGGTATTTATACTGTTTACTTTTCCTAATCCTCGTCGAAGTATGAGGTCGGGAATTGGAAGGTTTATAATCATCACCGACTTTGACGTGTGATTCTCACAGGAAAATGCTATTTGGGTTGACAGTTAGGTGTACACACCCTCACGTGTCAATTTCGATGCACGTGTATCAAAACTCTTATCTCACAAAAGCAAGCTTGTGTCTTGAAGCAAGCTTGTGTTTTGGTAAGAATTAAAATTAAATTTTCAATAAATTTCAATAAAAATTAATGAAAGATGTTTGATTACAAATATGGAAATTTGGTGAAAAGAAAACGAATTTCAGGAAATTGAATTGCCTAAAAATTATTTTATTGTGAATTATCAATTATTGTGTTTGATTTGTATAATTTTTCATGTGAAAAATGTTGAAATAAAAGTATTTTTTGTTGTTTGTTTGATTTTGTTTTACATGTAAATTGTAAATTAAAGTGCTAGAATTTATTGGTATTGAAAATAGAATTTGTTTCCATCGTTAAAATATATATATATAGGCGTTCGTTTAGCTTTGTTTTACATGAAAATTGTCAATTAAAAGAATTTTTTTTTTTTTTTTTTTTTTTACAATTAGGGATAGAATTTGTTTCTATTACCCAAAACAATAAATCAACCAATAGCCTAGAAAATGAATTCATCAATTTGGTGGAAAATGACTAAGGTGACATGAAAGTGTGAAAATAAACTGACTAAAAAAAACATATCAAACATGCATTTTTTGTTTAGGGTGAAAATCAATTTCCATTTTCAATGGAAAAGAGGCTTATGAAACAGTCCCTAAGTTCAAATGCCATCACTCAATCTTTTTTTGTCCAATTGGCCTTTGATCAAGTTCTCAAAAATAAAATCAAATTTAATTATTTGAAAGTGTAAAAGGAACATTTTATCCTCCCTTATAAAAGCCAAATTGAAGTAAGAAGATTTATCCAAGTCAAAATCATTTATCCCAAATTGAAAATTGAAAAGGAGCTTTGGTTACATCTTCATTCTCAAAGCACATGGAAATAACCTTTTCAAAAGTGTTAGTTTTCCAAAATGGCCCTCAGGCAAATTTCATACCAAAAATGCCCTCCATTTGAATATTAAATAACAAGGTACCATAATATAAAAACTTTCTATTTGAATCCTTAAAAATTTAGGCATTGGTTGAAACTTGATAATTTTATTTAATTTATTAAATTTTTTTTTGATTTATTTGATTTTGTTTTATTTGATTTTTGTTGGCTTTAAGTGGCCCCCCATTTTGGTATCAGAGCCATAGAGATCATAAGAAAACCTTTAGATTATAATTCTTAAATTAGTATATATATAAATGTTTATAAAAACATATTGATCATGAGAAAATTTATAACAAATAAATTATTTAGAGATAAAATTTTAGATATCATGGAAATAAAAATAAGAAAAATAAATAATTATTATAAATTAGAAGAAGAAAGAGGTAGTTATATATTTCTGAAACCTATTAACAACATATTAAAATTAATGACACCAATAATAACTGAAGAATTACCTAAAGAAATAAAGGAACAAATATTAGAAAAATTAATAATAGAATCAACAAAAGAGAAATATATATATATGAGAAAATTATTGATATATATTTAGATGAAGAAATTAATTTATATTATAAAGAAATAAAAGTATAAGTACAAGCGATAATACACATCAAAAATTGAATAAATTACTTTTAAAAATGGATAAAATACAAGAGGAAATAAGAAATATAATGTTAATACCAGAAGGAATGAGAATACCAAATAATAGACAATTAGCAAAATTAAAATGTGAAAGACTACGACTTGAAAGTAAATATTTTATTATAGTAAAAGAAGAATTAGTAGATTCAGAGATAGTTGAGAGAAGATTTAGAAAAATAATAGATAAAAAGGAAGATAAAAGATGCAAATTAACCTACGAGTTAGAAATAAGAAAAAATTAAGATGTCAATAAGTGAATATATGGAAGAATTAAAATCATTAATAAAAATGTTAATAAATGATATACAAGATTTAAGAAATGAAGTAAAAGAAACAAGAAACGATATAAATATATTAAAAATTGAGATTAGAGAATTAAAAGAAAATAATAAGAATAAAGATAAGAAAATAGATAAAAAAAACTTATAGAAAATTAAATGACTCGAATAGGAAAGAAATATATAGAAAAGGAAAATATAGTAATAGAAACGGGAAGTATGGATGATGAATTTAAAAAGAACATATTACCAAAAATATTAGAAGAAGAAGAAGAAGAATCTAGAAAAAAATCATTAGGAAAATTAAAAATAGAAGAAAAAGAGGATAAAAATGAGTGAAGAATTAGATTTGTTAATAGAAAATTTTGATCAATTGAGCTTAACTGATATAAGTGAATACCAAGTTTTAATGAATACTGGAGGAGGACATAATCCAGCAGAAACCTCTAAACAGGAATTACATTATGCAGATGAAAGTCATGCACCTATATATAATAAATCATATAGACAATTCTATAATAAAGTAAGAGATAGACAACCACCTAAAAGAAATAAATATAATAATAGATTTGAACTAAATGATAATTATGATAGACCAATCAATCATGGAGGAACAAAACTAGATTTAAAATTTAAAATAAATACTAAAAAAGCCTTATTAATTTGGACAGATTCAATGATATTATTTTTTTTATATAATAAAGATGACACATGGGAAAGTATTGAAAGCAGAATAGATTTCTTAATAGCATCATTTGAAGGAGATGTTAGAAATTGGTAGGAGGGAATAAGCATTGATACAAAAATATTAATAAAAAGAAATATACAAACAGAAATAATCAAATCAGATAGACAAGGTATAGAAAAATTAGGGGAATATATTTTTGATGAATTTTTAGGAGAAAATTGGATAAGAAATGTTGAAAAATAATTAATAAGAGAAAAAGATAATGCTAGAATAAAATTAATAAATTTAACAATATGTGATATGTGTAAAATTAAAGAATATACTTGTGAATTTAAAAATTACTATTATTTTCAATTTTATAGTAATGAAAATCAAGAAGTATACCAAGATATGTATTATAATAAGTTACGAAGTTCATGGGGTATATATTTTAAAATAGAATTTGAAAAATATGTTAGAGATAATACTGGAATACCTAAGACTTTAGGTTCAAGAATAAAATTTTTATTTGAAAGACTTGCATATATATGTCAACAAAGACAATTAATGAAAATATTAGAAAAACTAACTAAAATATGTTGTGAAGATATGAAAACTCCTGTGCAATGGGGATGTAATCCTGAAAGAAGAATTAATAAAAAAAAATAAAAAATTCAAAAAAATTAGAAATTTTAATCAAAAAATATATAAAACCTAAAAGAATGTATTATAAAAGAAAAAATAACCCATATAATCAACAGAAAAATAAAAATTATAAGAAAAGCAAAAGTCAATGTAAATGTTGGAATTGTGGAGAGATATGTCATATAAGCCCTGATTATGATAAAAAGAAAGTTAGAATATGACAAAAAGAATATTTAGAAATAAAAGATGAATTAAGTGAAATATCAGATATTGAAGAATATTATGATCAAGACGTATATATAAGTAAAACAGAAGAGGATGAATCAGGATCTGAATAAAGAGATTGAAGAAATAGAAAGTAATAATATAAATATATAAGAATATGAAGGAATAGAAGGATATGGATTAAAAGTCACTTTTGATAATAGCAAGTTTAGGAAACTGCAAAAATTATAGAATTTGAAAAAGAGAAAGAATAGCAATAAATGAATATCACAAAATAAAAAAACATAAATGTAAGAACAACTTATGGACAACATAAATTAAATCTTTTAACAAAAAATACAGTTGATGAATTATTAACAAAAATTAGTAAAAAACAAAGTGAAAAAATTCAATATGTTTATTTAATAGGAATACAGATAATGTTTAAATCACTATTTAGAGAAGGGATAGATTCACCCTTAACTATAACTTTACATAATGGAAGAATAATAAACTTAAAAGATAGCCATTTAAGAACAATAGAAGGAAATTTGGCATATAAAAAAATCATGTTTGCATGTTATCCAAAATATTGTGTATCATTAAAAGATAAAAATTTTAATAAAATTTTAAGACTACATTTCAAGCTTCATAGAGATGATATTATGCAACCAAGTGATCAAATTATAATTATAAAATATAGAGCTTTATACACATTTACCAATTCTAATTATTGGAATATTTATTCCAATAAACCATATTTTGAAGTTCATAAAAAATGTAAAAATATTAGTAAAATAATAGAACCAAATAAACAAATAAGTTTAATTCCAGAAGAATATGAATTTAGCATAGTAAAAAGTAAATCTGAAATAACAGAATTAAATGAATGAGAATATTCTAATAACATAACATTTAAGGATGAAAAATTAATTAAAAGATCAAAAAGTTTTAAAATACCTAATAAAAACAAGTTAGAAGAAATTAGCAAAATAAAAGAAGTAAAATTGTATAGAAATGCTGGAAACATGAAAATAGAAGGAGAATATTATAATGGAAAAGAAAATATAAATGGACCCAATATATTAATAGATACAGGAGTTAGTGAATGTCATATAGCTTCGATTAGAAACAAAGGATTAATAACTCATAAAAATGAACCATATAAGTATGTAAATTTTGATGGACAAATACATATAACAGATTTAGAGGTTAAGGTACCAATAAAAATAGGAGGAATAGATCTTTTAGTACCATGTTACATAGATAGGAGCATGGATAGAAACCCTCATATACTTTTAGGAATGAGTTTTCTAAATGGATTAGAAGATTATAGTATAAAAAGAGAAGGATTTTATATTGTTCATAATGGACAAACTACATTAGGTAAAAAATGTTAAATGAATAATTAGATAAGTTTCTCATTAATTGTGTATATACAAATTACTATTGTAAAAACAAATATACGACTTGTGCTTTGATAGATACAGGAAGTGATATAACAATATTTAAAATTTTTTTAATAAAATCATGGAATAATAATAGTAATATAAAAATAACTGGAGTTACATGAGAAA